TCCACCAAGATTTGGTGATTGAGTCCTCTAATCGCCCTTTAAATGGGAGAGGATATAAGGCATTTTCTCCCTCCTTTCTGAATGCCTTCGTAGTGTAACACACTCGGCGTACATTCTAGATTTCCAGGATCGAGTCCCGGCAAAGGTATTGTCAATTTTCACGTCTTTCAGTATAAAATACCTAATGACTCTACAAGACATCCAAAAGTGCAGCTGTTTATCGTAATCAAATAACTAATTTATTGTCTTCGCGATCCAAAAAAGGTGCTAGCTTTCAGAGGTACATTGCGCAAGGGGAAAAATAAAGAGGGACATTTCCATATCTACCGTTCTACTGGGCGGATTAACGAAATTCAACGCCTTTCATAACGAAATATAGTGCCTTTCATATGTCGAAAGTGCGACTTAGGAGTATATTTTAAATTTATATACAGTTTTGTTGTAATATAGGTGTTTTGAAACAAAATCGGACATTTTCTGCTGAGCTGAGATGTTGTCTCCCTGGCTTTTACAGCTTTTTAACCACGCGAGATCTTTTTAATAAATTCTGCTTCTCGAGATTTCTGGAAAGCAAAAGAGAGTGGAATTACGGTTGCAGCTAACATAGTAGTCAATTACATTTATTCAATTTCAATATAAATGACCGAGATATCCATTTATTTAATGCTAAATGCAAGTGCTCTTGTATTTTTATCTTCGGCATAGCTTTCTCTTAAAATTCGTCACGCGCTGCATTGCACGTAGAAGTTAAACAGCTTTAATAATAATTCTACTAAAATTAGCTATCTAAATACAAAATTCGTAACAATATCCAAAAAGGGCCTTAAATCCGATTTTTATATATTATGAAGTTCGCTGTAGTTGTATTGGGTCTGAAGCAAATTACAGAAAAACAGAGGGTCCGTTCCTTATGTCTGGGGCCTCAGACCAAGATATCCACAAAGTTCTTTATATTATCGAATTTATTGTAAGACAATTCTTTATTGTCTTACATTAAATTCCAGACGAAGGGTGAGGGATGATGATGTGACTCCCCAGTATTTTATTGGAGGGTTTCACTCGACAAAGGAGGACGTGGTGGTTTTATTAACCATAACCGTATGGTGCCCACGTCCTCCGTTTAAAAAAAGTTCTTTATATCCGATTTTTATATGTTTGGAAGTTCACTGCAGCCGTATAAAACAAAATTAACAGTCTGTAGAAAACTGGATGGAAGAGAAAAGGTCTTGATTATAATCGGGTGTTCGTTATGAGCCGTATTAGCTATTGTGATTTGGGACTGTAAAAAAAAAAAAAAAAAAAAAAAAAAAAAAAAAAAAAAAAAAAAAAAAAATTGGAAGTCAAAGGACAAACTCGAATTTTATGCATTCTAAACTTTTGAATAATATATTACAAGGTATTTCTCTGGCCTTCTTGACATGCTTCGTGGTGTGGTGGTCTGCACGCTGTACCCGTATTACAGAGGCCTGCGGTTCGATTCACGGGAAAGGCGTTGCTAATTTTTCATCTTGGCCTACCAGCGGCCGAGCGGTAAAGTCGCTGAACACTGGTAGTTCGGTCCGAGGTTCGAATCCCGCGAACGGGCTGGCTGCGTGGGTGTTTTCGTCTTTTTCCCCATGTGTAACGTGTATACGAGTCAGTGTCCCTTAGAAAGCCCTCCAAGAAAGGCATCCCTCCCCTTAGGCAGATATCCCTAGTGTGCTGTGCCGTAATTAAATATACCAACACCATTTTTCCTCTTGCCTGTTTCCAAAAAAATTACCTAATATCTCTATAGTGGCGCCCGAACTAAAAATGTGGTGGTTAATAATTCTCCCCACTTAGGATTTGGTGATTGGATCTCCTAAAAACCCCAATCGCCCTTTGAAAGGGGGTGTGTATAAGGTATTTCTCCCATCTTTTTGGCATGCCTTCGTGATGTGGGTGTCTCTACACGCTGAGCGCGTACTCCAGAGGCCCTCGGTTCGATTCCCGGCGGAGGTGTTCTTATTTTTCACATCTCTTGTTTTCAAAAAATAATTAATGTCTCTATAGTGGCGCCCGAACTAAAACAGTGTTGGATGATGATTCCTCCCTACCAGAATTTGGCGATTGGGTCCCCTAAAGACCCAGTCGCCCTTTAAAAAAAAGGTCCCACCTTCTTGGCATGTCTTCGTGGTGTGGTGGTCTGCTCGCTGGGCGCATGTTTCAGAGGTACGTGGTTCGATTCCCGACGAAGGCGTTGCTAATTTTTCATCTTGCCTGCTTCCAAAAAATCCTAGTGTCTCTATAATATAATTAAAAAAAGTGAAAATCAACGGATGCTTTTCTGAGGAGTATTCCAATATTATTTGTCGACGCGAAGTTTCATTAGCATTTACTGCGCTAGTATAAATTACAAACAGAACTTTTGAAGCCGCTTATTATATGCCCGTGCTGCTGAATTATTTTATTCATAATTATTATTAATTAAATGCCAGGTATTTGAAATAATAGTAAATCCTTTTAAAGAATATATAAATGAGAAGAAAATGGTATTTGTGATTGTCGTTAAATTAATTGCTTTCGAGATAATATTTAAAGGCAAAAATAAAACTATGACTCGTAAAATTTTTAGACTTCGAAAAATATCTGCAAATATTCAATTAAAAGAGAGTTTCGCAGCTTTGTTTAAACAATGAATCCAGTAAATTAACCGCAAGATGTATGGACGCATTAACATACACTTTAACAAAGAAATCATAATAACCTCTTTTCAAATACTTTCAGTTAGGTACGGAAGGGGACGAGTACTAATATTTATGCAACAGCTAGTTTGTTTTCACAGCGTTATTGCCACCAAGTGTATTATGAAAGGCATAAATATGTATTTTATATTTTGAATTATCGCTCTTTGTTCCACAGACAAGTAATCTGTAATCTTCGAGATAATTTTTAATTAGATATTCTTTCTCGAGTGGATTGGCTTTACCATGCTGATAAGAATTTAATTAATTAAAGTTTATTTCAGTATTTTGTAAAGAAGTGGCAAGGCATGAACTATTTATTCGAAGGTTTTTATTAAAATTTATTTCCATGGCTTCCTTTTCTTATTTTATTGAATGTCAAATAGTCACCAGTTTAAAACGTTTAATTTAAATACTAGACGTAACACTTTAAGAAAAGAATCTTACCCTATTAATTCCCTTTGCACGAAAGAAAGAACAACTTTGCAGTGCTATGCACAATTCTTCGACGAATATATTTCTTCCGATGAAGTAGGTAAAGATTTGGGAATGTAATTGAAATTGCTGAGAATTTTAAATAAGTAGCATTCATTTTTGAATACATTACTTTAAATTTTTTATATTGTTCCTACGCCGTTTAAAAGTAGCCTGAAAATAATTAACTCTTTAAAATGCGATGATTTATTTAAAAGCTTAAATAAGATTTTAAGTTCGTCATTTATTTAGGTAATTAGAATTTATAAGTAGGCAATTATTTCGTGCACTCATCCAAAATTATGCAAATTCTTGCAACATTTCCTTTAAAAACTTTTTTGGAAAAATTTTAGTTGTTGCATGTTTGCCAAAATATCTAACTTAAATAATATTTATGAGTTTCAGATAAGAACAAATTATAAATAATACACACGTTGCACAAAAATTAAGGTAAATAAAGTTTTGATGATAATATATTTATCTATGAAATATGAAATAGCTTTCATAATTCCATTAAATATTCTTATTTTAAAGAATTAACATATATCAGAATAATATTCTAAAGACTTAATTTATTAGAATAATATTATTGAATGACAGACTGACGATGGCATATAAAATGAAACGTTAAGATTGTCATTAATAAATGTTTGTAAGAAGTAGTAATCTTTAGTCTACAAGAAGTTTACGAGTATAAGAAAGGATTATGTTGTTTGAAAAAAGATGCTGATAATTAGCTGCTAGAATCCGTCTAACGGTTTGTTTTAGTTTGGTTTATTTGGTTATGGGAAAGTACACGAGGACTATCTCCCATACCTTCGTGGAGGATTTTTCAAGAGAAACTGGCTCGTATATACGTTACACATGGGGAAAACCACGAAAGTGCCCACCCAGCCATGCCGTTTGTGGAATTGGAACCTCGGGCCGAGCTGCCAATGTTCAACGACTTATAGTTTCGATGGTTAAATAGAGCCTTCTTCTCCAGTTGCGAGAATGAAAATGATGAGAGAGAAGCAAGCTTAACCTATAACAAGACACGAAACTTTTGAAAAGTTTCCAACTTTTATAAGATAGGACCGGTGCCTGCCGCTATTTTTAAGCTTAAATAAAGCATTTTTAAGTAATGCACTGTGTCAAGGATGTTAAAATTGAAAACAGAGAGATTCTCCAACTTATTCAAGGTACTATTTAAAAATGAAGTCGTCTGGCAAATGAAGGTTCTTGTAATATCAAAACATGCCTTAAAATCGCCAAAATTTACTTATTTCTATGTTGGTCGAATAAGTTTCTGAGTAATAATATATGATAATTTTCAACGAAATACTACGTCGTTGTTATTTTTTTTCCTAATGCGAAAAGGATGACTTGTGTAATGCACTGTAAGGAGAAAAATTATCAATATAAGGATCTGTAATATTAAAAACCTTTAATGAAACTTTTATTTTACACAAAGACTTTTATTTTACACTCCAGTTACTTTGCTTTTATTACAAGGTACCAGGAGTGGGCTCAGCCCGACCCACCTAACCAAAAATGTTGGTCTTATGGTCATAATTTCTTCCTCCTTCCGACATGTCTTCGGGGTGTAACGGTTAGCACATGGCGTGTGTTCGAGAGGACAGGTTCGAGTCCCGCTAAGGACATTGCTCATTTTTCACGTCTACCGCATAAAAATCGCCTAATGACTTTACAGTGGCGCCCGAACTAAAAAGTGGTAGATGATGATTTTTCACCACCAGGAATTGGCGAGTCGGTGCCCAAATCCCAAGTCACCCTTTAAAAGGGAGAGTATATAAGGTATTTCACCCCTCCTTTCAGCATGCCTTCGTGGTGTAACGGTTAGCACATTCGGCTTCTATTCGAGAGGTCCAGGTTCGAGTCCATTGCGAGGGCACTGAACATTTCTCGTTTCTCCTGCTTCACAAAATCCTAATGGCTCTACATGATATCCAGATCTTTCGTATCAGCTTTGCAGCCGCCATATATGAAAAAGCACAATAACTATATTATTTATAAATGCAAACACTAATTTCGTGAAAGGAAATAAAGGATATTAATAGTAAACGGAACTTAAGTTATAAAATTGAGTAGTTCCCTTTCATTCTCACATTTTGTTGCACATTTCCCTAAAATTAATCATAGAGGTTTAAGCAATTTTAGATTTATGTTTTTTAAAACGTTTTAAAAAAACTGTATATTTTCGTTGTTATCCTATATCTATATTTATAAGTGTTTAGCACATAGTAAGAACAATAACATTTTATAAAAAAATAATCAATGATTATACAGAGAAATTGCTACATCACCATTTACAAAATGTAATGCCTAATAATATCATTGCGCGCATACGGGTTCGTAATAGATTGAATGCACAAGCCCCATAAAAAGTTAATAAAATTCCTTTTTATCACAAGAAATATAAAAAACGCTGGATTTTTCCTCAAAAAAAAAAAAAAAAAAAAAAAACATTCGTACAATATCAAAATATCACACGGTAGTTATATTTTAAACTACTAAATCGTTAAATAAAATGCAATCCAAAGCGCAGAGAAATCCGATCTCACCGCGAATTCGCTACAGTCAGTAACAACAACCATCTGCAGATTATAAGGCTGCTCTGCATGAAGATTCATGCCTCAATGTACGTCCTGTGGTGATCCTCTTGCAGAGTCATTAGGATTTTTTTAGAGGCAGAAAAGATGAAAAATAGCAAACGCCTTCGCCGGGAATCGAACCACGGACCTCTATAATACCGGCCCAGCGTGCAGAACCGCTACACCACGAAGTCACGCTAGGGAAGTGGGAGAAATATCTTATATACTCCCCTTTTTAAAGGGCGACTAGGTTTTAGGGGACCTACTCGCCAAATCCTGGGTGCGGAGAATCATCATCCACAACTCTTTTAGTTCCGGCATTAGGTTAATTGAAAAGATGAAAAATAGCAAACGTCTTCGCCGGGAATCGAATCACGGACCTCTGGAATGCCAGCCCAGCGTGCAGAACCAGTACACCACGAAGGTACGCTAGGGAAGTGGAAGAAATACCTTATAGTCTTGGTACCCCCAAAATACTCCGAAAACTTACAGTCGAAAGACTTACAACATCTACCTACACTTATGAGCAAAATCAAAAGAATTTCTAATTATGTCCATTTTTTTCAAAACGCATTGGAGTAAAGGTGCTAATTATACCGCCGAAAAATTGTGCAAGCAGAGTCGAATACGTAAACTTAAATGTGCGTGTCAGCGGAGCTGTGATTGTGGAGGGTATGTAAGCGCACGAGGGGTTTGTGTGCTCGTACTCCTTTACAACATTCGCCATGTTTCTCGCGACAGTTGGATACATTTTACAAGCTATCAGGTAAAATAAGTAGCCGAAAACGTATGGATAACGGATTGACGTATGGACAAAACATTGTCGCTAAAGAAGAAGCAGGCCATTCACAAGTGCAATTGACTATTCGAAAAAATGTAAGGTATTTATATTTTAATTTTAATTAAAACACTTAACTCTATGAAAGCAAAGTGTTGTCGCTGCCGAAATTAAAATTCTTTTATCTTCCATTCACCAGAGTGTTGCCATTTACTAAAGCCTAAGATACTTTCAAATTTAATCTGGAAGGTTGTTAAATAATAAACTAACGATTTAAAAGCAATAAGAGTAATTCTTAAATATATTTTTTTTACTTTATAATGTGATTGATTTAAATAATTATGTATTAAAATCACGAGATGTTTAATTAGAAATATTGAATATTTTTATATGAAGGACTCATTAAAATTCATTTTATATTAATTAGCTAGACTCATCGAATTCATTATATACTTTTCCCTTTGTATGATAACTATTTTAGGCCTCTGGCCGAGCGATCCGGTAGTTTTTGAAGAAATAACGTAACGAATATAAAAATTGTATGGCAGACTCTACCGATAATTGGTACGCTGTTTCTAAATATCCTGCGATTTTGTTGTTGAAATGAGTTTTGTGGCATAACTGAGATGAATTTGATATTTAATAAATAAACTTAGCATATTAAAAATTAATGAAGAAAAGAATCGTATCCATATAAACATCTTATTAAGCAAACAGGAAAACAGAATATTGATATGATAAACTGAGAAAAGACTGAAAAAATATAAAATGTATGCCAACACTTAACACTTAACACTGTACCTGGAATTCTAAACATATACTGCTATTTAGGTTTTAGAAATATTGTGATTTTTGACTTTTAACTGCATGTGGCGTGAGTAAGTGCGAAGAAAATGACGCTTAAAACCCCTTAAGGACCAGAGCTGAGAGAACGAAGCGCAGTCACGGGACCGGACACGCTGAAATGGATCGTCGCCACCGACCCGCGCATCTTTCAGCACTTAGCCTAATTTGACAAAAAAAAAAAAAAAAAAAAAAAAAAAAAAAAAAAAAACGTATAGAATCAGTATTTTTTTATTATGACTTCAATTTTTGAAGTTGCTTATTTTAATGTACTTGTTTTAAATGTGTATTAAATATAAAGAATATCGCATTAATAGAAATAAATTAAACAGGCAAAATACTAAAATCATAACTATACACCCAGAAATAAATACTATAAACATGAAAAAAAAATTACAAATACGAAATTAAAAAAAAACCAAGAATTACGTACGGTAATTAAATTCAAATTTAAAAATTCTGCCGTGTGTGAAATAACTCAAAAGAAAGATCGACACACAGTCCTACATTGCATATTTCGCACTGAAAATACGTTGTTTGCTTTCGCTTTTACTTGGTTTTAGCACACGCAACGCATCTTCTCCTATCTTTGTTACCTTTTCCATCAACGTAAATTTTCGGAAACTGTCTTCCAGTTAGACGGAAAGGTGTAGTGTCAGGTGATTTTGCACAAATTTTTAAGTTTTTAAGAAAAGTCTCTTAGCCATGGATAACTGAATTGAATAGGACCCCAACACATGTTCCAAAACTTCTTCAAAAGTCACTCAGAAATATTTTATCCTCAAATCCCGTGTGACATCAGGTTTATATTAGAAAACTTCCTGTTTTTCTAAATCGAAAACAGTGTCCACGATGACCGGAAAGTGATCAACTGGCCCCCACTGACGGGATATCCGTTACTGATCACTTCCAATATAAACATTATATTTAATTACAGTATATGTAAAGTAAATACATTATATACCAAAATATAACGTCTGTGTCATTATATATAAAGACAATTAAAGGTATTATATGTAATGACCTATTAAATCGAGTAAGAAAAACAAAAACGCTGACTCTTTCCTGCGAAAAGCGAGCAAGACGCATTACAGGTCGAGAAAGCTGATAGTCTTCTGTAATAATGTTGTAATAAAAAGAAAATTTAACGAAATAAACAAAAACGCCTGTGCCCCTTTAATTCACAGGCGCACTTATAAAGAGCCGTGGTTTCTAGTTTGTTTATTTCAATAAATCTCTCAAAACTAGAAGCACAAAACAAACTAATGCCAGTACATGAAGGTTAAATACCGTATGAATCAACCCATTTGAAAACAATTACCACTTAGCTCCATTTACTGGATTTTAAAAATTCTAATAAATCGTTCCGTTTTAATGTCGCGTATACGCGACACTGGGCTCGTAGGAACAGAATCGTTGCGTCACGAATACGTGACGCTGGTCCTGAACGGATTAATAATATAGCTAAGGAGAGCAAGAGCAGGCTGGTTAGAGGGTTAGCGAGAGCATAAAGAGCACTAGCAAACTCTTTTGGAGCCAGTTGAAAATCTAAAAACCTAGCAGATTTTTTTCTCTTCCCTAATATTTTTTTTTTTTTTTTTAATTGGAGAACTGTAAATTTATTGTGGAGCCCTACGAAAATATTTTGTTTAGTGGCCCAAGAGTTCTAGTTAGGCCACTGAATTAATATTAAATTTCTGATCATTTTAAATCATAACTTTTCAACCATAAGCATAATGTAAATTCAGTGGAGATAACTGGCGTGTGTTTCGTATATTTATTTGATGTCCCCGCTCAATTGTGCGGTAATGCTGCTTGAAAGGTTAGAAGTCAATAATTTCTTTCCCGTTAATTTGTTGTTTGAATATTATCTCCGGAAAGCGTAATACTGTAAGAAGTATATAGGAATAATTAGAAGCATACATTAGATAACTTCTAGGAAGCAGGCAAGAAGAAAAGTTAGCAACCGCTTTCGGCGGGATTCGAACCACGGACCTCTGAAATACCGCCCAGCGTGCTGACCACCACACCCCGTAAGCATGCTAGGAAGGCGGGAGAAATACCTTATAACTGTTGACCCTTTATCTGTCTTATTGTTACTGTGATTTATCGGTTCCACCTGTTTGTGATGAGCAGGAGTGTCCTGAACATGATATGTTGAAAAACATTAAAACACTGTAAGCTTTGAACGAGATATCTTAGCTAGTCATGAAAAAATGTGAATTAAATTAAAATTTATATTTCAACAGTCAAGTCATGGATTATAAAAACCAACACATATGCCAAGTTCCGGCAAATTAATTTTAAACAGAGGTGAAAATTTGTCATCTCTAAAAAAAGGGATTTTTTACTTATATATTTTATTTTATTTCCGAAAATATATTTAAAATATTGGACACGAGAGAAACACGTGGATGTATGTTATGTACACACAGAATGAATCACCTAAATTTTGCAACTAAAATTTGCCGGAACTTGGCATATGTGTTGGTTTTTTATAATAGCGCTTATCCATGATCCGACTGTTGAAACATAAATTTTAATTTAATTCACCTTTTTCCCTGACTATGTAAGAGATCTCGCCCAAAGCTAATAATGTTTTAATGTTTTTCAACATATCATGTTCAGGGCATTCCTGCTAATCACAGACAGGTAGAACCAACAAATCAATTTCTGGAA